AAATGAAGGCAGGAAAAAAAGCAGATTTCCAAATGAACTTTAAAAATGAAAAAAATGAAAAAAAAACTAGTTTTAAGATGCTTTAGAACCAGGCCGCGGTGGAACTTGCAAAGATAGATAGATAGATAGATAGATAGCTAGATAGATAGATAGATAGATAGATAGATTAGATAGGCAGACAAATAGATAGACAGATAGATATAGATAGATAAATATAGATAGAAAGAACTATAGATATATTGATAGATAGGTACACAGACAAACAGACAGACAAAAAGATAGATATCGACTGCCAGTCCAACAGAAAAGTGACCAATATTCTAACACAATGTATCCACAGACCGACCGCATATGGGAAGGTGTGGAAAAAGAAAGAGCTGACCCTGACACGTGTGGTGCCGATCCGCCGAGCTGAGTAAATGCAGCTTCGTAAAAGCAGGATCAACAAGAGGGGACGCAGAGACCATGCGAGTCAATCCGCACGTCCCAGTAAATGCTGGGACAGCAAAAGATAGAATGATAGATCAACAAGTAGGCAGGCACACAAATAGATAAACACAGAGAGAGAGAGAGAGGGAGAAAGAAAGAAAGAAAAAAAAGAAAGAAAGAAAGAAAGAAAGAGAGAAAGAGACTCAGAGCCTGAACCACCTGACGATCCGTCAGTGGGTTCCGTCTGCCATCCATGCACAACAACTCACCTCTCCTATAGGTTTCCTATCTTTGAAAGTTCCGCCACCGCCTTGTGAGGAATTTCTGGGGATGTTGAGATAGGTCCTGCAGGCACTATAAATGTGGATTTACCCTATAAATCGGATGGTAACCAACAAACATGGGGATTGATAGGCTGATGTTCGCCAAGTTGGTTTATGATTTGTGGTGATGAACTCACTATAGTTTGAGTATTTTTTACCAACTTATAACTATGGGCCACCACTTTGTGGGGCTTTTGAGATAGATATCTGGAATTATCTGGATATGCTTAGAATCAATCACAAGTCAAGTTTAAAGCCATTTTGGGGAGGATTCCCTTACCCACAATACTTTTTGGTGAAGTTGTTGGGCCACTATGAATCATCCACATTCAATCATCACGGTTGGGCTGGGCCCATACAATCAAACCATCCATGAATCATTTCGGGATAGGGGTTATCGGGGTGTATATATGTGTTACGCACACATGTGACTATATAGACCCATCATTGATTAAAGCGTCAATGGTCTTGTTCGGTGCTTCATGGGAGGTATACTGATGAGAATAATGCTTGACATTAAGTGACAAGAGCAGGGACAACTGAAGAAAAGTGAGAATATCCACAAAAACTCATTGGGGTTCAACCAATTCCCAGTATTTTGCTGAGCCCCAAGATTCGCCCAAAATTGGCATCAAAACCATGAGTTTCACTTCTAAAAAAACATGCCTAGTGCGTGTCCGTCAAATCACTGTTTACACGTTTCCGGTATTGAAATTTTGTTCAGCAATGATAAATATCTATAAACGATCCATAATTTCTATACTTTTAGAATCATGTATAGATACTTTATAGCATCGCACCTGAGCGTGCGTATTTTTTGATTTTTGGATAAGGGAGACTATGGCTAATATTGTTCAACCCTCAACCTGAGAGCAACCCGCACCCAGCCCACAGGTGCTCCGAATAGCGAATCATGGTCAGCCGTAAGGCGTGCAATGCTGCTGCGATCACTGCAATTTCTTTTTCAGATAAACTCTGTGATTCATCAAATCATTGTCAACGAATTGCCCAGATATTCCGATTGGATGTTGATTTATGGATCCTAACATATGTTATATCCCATTGTTAATCCATATATATCACGACATACATGGTGTTGAAGATTTTCAGGACTGGCCGAAGCAGGGGTGCGGGCGGACGGATGAACGGATGAACTCTGGCAACAGGTGCTCAACAGAAACACATCGACTAGGAAAAGACATTATACACCCTCTCGCTGGAAAATCACCATATTTTGATAGGTGAATCATCATAAATGCTCTTTAAGTGGTCCATTGATGGTGTTCCATTGCCATGTGCCGCTACGTCTGCGCACACAATCTTAGTGACACATGGCTCTCTTGTGTTTTTTCGATTAACACATGTACCTTTGGCATTCAAACATGGAAAATCCACCATTTGAATTATTTTCCCAGCAGTATATAAAGGATTTCTATTTATACAATTTTATACAGCTGGTTTCTATGAAGGGTTTCATTTAGGGGAATGATTTTCCCATGATTTTCCCTCAATTTATAAAGGGTTTCTCAATGTTTCCCAGCTTCCCAAGCATGAAAATCGCCGATGGCCATTGGGAAATCCCCGCAGTACGGAGGCTTTAGTGGGAACAACATCGAACATTGGGAAATGATGGGAAATGAGTGGGAAAAATCATGGGAAATTGTCATTGCCATCTTTTATTTTCGAAGGTTTTTTTTTTGATCCTGGAAGATCCTGGAAGATCCTGGATCTTTTCCAACATGGCTCGCCTGTCGCAACATCTGGCCACAAACCAGTGCCACTTCGGTGGCAGCAGCCAGCGCCTGCAACTCAACTGCTGGATGTTCTTCCCACATGATGTTTCTTCAGACATAACAAGACAAGTATGCTGCACGTATTTTTGCCACTGTGATCACTGTTCAGATGTTGTCAAACTCACTGAAGCTTGGAATCTGACAAAGAAATGATGTGTAGGAATCACAACGACATAATGTTGAAACAAAAAAACATTGTATAACATTTTACTATAATCGGAATACCCAAAGGTATGATGGTTATAATTACAAACATTTTGCTATGCTACAATTAATGACTATTCATGTCGGCAAACCAATTAAAAATAAATCACATTTGGGAATGGTTGATACCATCCATTTATGATGTTTTGCTTTATTTTTTTTATTTTGTTTCTTTGTGTTTTTCTTTTTTTTATGGGTTTACCACATTATATATACGTACATATATTGTCCACATTATATACACTTACATATACTGATATAATGTGTAGATAATATATATATAATCCAATATAACTGTATAATATTATATATATACATATATAATTATATAATATTATATATATACACATATAGTTATATAATATTATTTGTATAATTATATATAATTATATAATATTATTTGTATAATTAAATATAATTATATATAACTATATATAATTATATAATATTATTTGTATAATTATATATAAGTATATATAATTATATAATATTATATGTAAAATTAAAAAATATCATATATAATTAAAGAGGTATGAATTATATTCATCTATAGATTGATTTTTTGTTAACAAACATCTTGCGGAAACCATATTCTTGATTATCACTTATAATATTGGCAAATGTTCATCCAAACGTTGGCCTCCACAGCTCGCGACGATGGCTCCGGCTCCGGCATGGCCTTTGGCGCGGCCTTTGGCGCGGCCTTTGGCGCCGCCTCGTCTTCCCGGGATTTCCCAATGGATTGGTAGGGAAAAATGGATGGAGAAAACCATGGCTTAATGAACCATGAATATGGGCTAAAGAAACCAATGAATTATGGAAAGTATGATTTAATATGTTTGAAACCTAGAATCATGAATAATCTGGGTTTGCCTTCGAAACATAAAATCCAATTCTTGAAAAGGTTCAACATGAACTGGTTGGTTGAACCATCCCCGACTTTTGCGTTTCCCAGCCACCCGACTCGTGCAGGCCGCGTTTTTCAAGTGACTACCGGGTTTGTCTCCATAGTTAGCAAAGTTGGGTAGCCATATAACTATGGGGGTTATGGTAGATTTATCTATATAGTCAATGGATTACATACATCAATAAAACAACTGAGGAGCACGTGACATGGCAAAAAACATGATTATCGCATCTCTTGAATTTGGGATAGTTTGTCTAACAATAGGATATCCCAAAAATCATCTGCCCCAAACCATGGAAAAATTCCCATCGTTTTCCCCAAACCGCCGTTGTCCAAACCGTTGCCTTCGTTCTCTTCGCAGCCGGCGGCGTTGCCGTCGTGCTCTTCGCTTCGGCACGGTCGGCATAGCCCAAAAGCCGCCTCAAGACCTGGCTTTCGGGAAAATCCCATGGGACATCGGAAAAAAATGGAGGTTTCCCCTGATCAACATACCAATCTAATATATAGAGGTTTAAACCATGGTTATAACAACATCAATCTAAAACAACATACCAGTTTATAACCATCAAATTATAGAGGTTTAAAGATGTTTTTTGGGTTCATAGTTGGGAAATTCGGCTCCGCCGGCTCCCCACGAGTGGCTTGCCCTACGAGCGTCCCAGAGCGACTAGAGCTCTATGGTGAGGCGCGCCCCAAACCGCCGACCCTCCGACGCCGGGCCCCGAAAAACACCAAAAATCCTTCAGGAAGGTGGGGGAGAGGTTTTTGGACGGAATCCGGGTCGCTCATAAGCGTCTCCAAGAGCATTCCGCCCCCCCCCCGATTTTGAGGGTACCTAAAATCGGAAAAAAGCGCCGTTTTGACGCCTTTTTCGGACGATTTTTCGCTTTTCGAAAGGCACACAATGCTGTAAATTACAGCATTTTTGCGTTTTACCGTCTTTTGCGGGAGCCATGCAAAAACGCAGAAAATGCTATAAATACCAATACTTTTTGGACCCGAGATGCACAAAACACTGCAAATACCAGTGTTTTTGAAAGCCAAGCAAAAAAACACTGTAAATTACAGCATTTTTGGCGGGTTGATCGCAAAAAATGCTGGTATTTACACGGTTTTTGCAATTTCAAGAAAACGTGGAAGGCACGAAACACTGTAAATAGCGGTGTTTTGGCCACTTTTGGACGCCGAAACGCTGGTATTTACGCAGTTTTTTGCCCGTGGCGGTGCCAAACCCCTGTAAATTACAGCATTTTCTTCCCTTTCTGAACCGATTTTTTGCCTTGATGAACGCAAAAAACGCTGGTATTTACGCGTTTTTCAAAAAATCGAAGATCGTGACGTGAACGAAACCCTGCAAATAACAGTGTTTTAGCCACTTTCGGGGACTAAAACTGTGGTATTTACGCGGGTTCTTGCCATCTGACAGCGCAAAATGTTGTAAATTACAGCACTCTGTGCCCTGTTTATGTTCAATTTTTTAACCTGCGATGCTTTCACCTGTTCTTTGCATTCTTCCACAAGAAACAATGTTGCAGATTGAAACTGGACGACAGCGTGACCCGAAAGAAAGCTGGATGGAGGAGTCGCACAGAAGCTGTTTCACATACAGGGGCTTTTACACAGAGAAGTCTTTACACAAAGGAGCTTTTTACACATAGAAGGTTTTACACAGAGAAGTCTTTACTCTAAGGAACTTTTGCACACAAACATCTAGGAGCCTTTACACACAGAAGCTGTTACACGAAGAAGGCCTGACAGAGAGAGTTTTTACTCACAGACGCGTTTGCACACAGAAGCTTTTACACAGAGAAGCCTTCACCCAGAGGAGCTTTTACACACAAAAGCATTTACACACAGCAAGCTTTTACACACACAGGGGCTTTTACACAGAGAAGTCCTCACACAAAGGAGCTTATTGCACACAGAAGGTTTTACACAGAGAAGTCTTTACTCCAAGGAGCTTTTGCACACAAACGTCTAGGAGCTTTTTCACACAGAACTTTTTACTCGAAGACGTCTTTACACAGAGGGGTTTTTACACACAGACGCATTTGCACACAGAAGCTTTTACACAGAGAAGCCTTTACACAGAGGAGCTTTTACACACAAAAGCACTTGCACACAGCAAGCTTTTACACACACAGGGGCTTTTACACAGAGAAGTCCTTACACAAAGGAGCTTTTTACACACAGAAGGTTTTACACAGAGAAGTCTTTACTCTAAGGAGCTTTTGCACACAAACATCTAGGAGCCTTTGCACACGGAAGCTGTTACACAAAGAAGTCTTTACACAGAAGGCTTTTTACACACAGACGCGTTTGCACACAGAAGCTTTTACACAGAGAAGCCTTCACACAAAGGAGCTTTTACACACAAAAGCATTTACACACAGCAAGCTTTTACACACACAGGGGCTTTTACACAGAGAAGTCCTTACACAAAGGAGATTATTACACACAGAAGGTTTTACACAGAGAAGTCTTTACTCCAAGGAGCTTTTGCACACAAACGTCTAGGAGCTTTTTCACACAGAAATTTTTACACGAAGAAGGCCTGACAGAGAGAGTTTTTACACACAGACGCGTTTGCACACAGAAGCTTTTACACAGAGAAGCCTTTACACAGAGGAGCTTTTACACACAAAAGCATTTACACACACAGTGGCTTTTACACAGAGAAGTCTTTACACAAAGGAGCTTTTTACACACAGAAGGTTTTACACAGAGAAGTCTTTACTCTAAGGAGCTTTGCACACAAACGTCTAGGAGCCTTTACACACAGAAGCTGTTACACAAAGAAGTCTTTACACAGATTTATAGCTTTCACACACAGACGCGTTTACACACAGAAGCTTTTACACAGAGAAGCCTTTACACTTTACACAGAAAGTTTTTACACACGGAAGCTTTTACACACAGTGAAATCTTTACACAGACGTTTCACACAGAGAAGCTTTCACACACAGAAGCTTTTACACAAAGAAGTCTTTACACAAAGTGGTTTTTACACACAGAAACTTTTACACACAAAAGCTTTTACACAGAGAAGTCTTTGCACAGAGGCGCCTTTACACGAAGTAACAAGTTGAAATTGGCAGCAGTTCTTCGGGAAAAACCCTTGGCAGGAGCTTTCGGGAACTCACTTGCTCCCCAAAAAAAGCCGTCTATTTCCAACAAAGTTCCTATTCGATGAACTTTTTTCAAAAAACATAAGGACTATATTTCTGAAGCAGGTCCCCATCCAAAAGCTTTCAAGCCCACACTGCGATGAAATGGAGGGTCGAGAAATCCGGCGGAGCCGACGAGGGGCGTCAGCCCTTAAAATCTGACTGGAAATCATCTGTAAATGGATGATCATCCTATAAATTAGGATGATAGCTGGGATAAGTCAATGGGGGAATTGTCCAGCAAACCATGAAGTTGATTACCGATTAAGGTAGATTGAATGAATTGAATGCACTGGTTGTCTGGAAAAAAAACTACCCTCTGGTAAGCTAACGTAGCTATTGCAAATGGCCATAGAAATAGTGAGTTTTCCCATTAAACATGGCGATTTTCCATAGTTTTTTGTATGTTTACCAGAGGGTAAGATGTTCCCAGAAGTTTTGGTTTGGACCCACTGGACCCACAAGCGATTGGCAGCAAGGGGATTGCAACCGACCAATAACCTAAACATTGACGCCAAGCTGAGACCATTGATGGTTCAACATGTTAACCATGTATAAATATATACACATATATATACATATATATATATATACATATATATATATACATATATATATATACATAAATATATATATATATATATACACACTGTACACACATATAAATATATACTGTACATATGTATATATATATATATGTATATATGTATATACATACATTACATGATTGAACATGCATTGAACACCTGGCTATAAACAACAGCACGTCACTTGCAGGGATGAACATCTTAGTAGGGCACGGTCCTTTCTAATTCCTGTAAAAACCTTGGTTTTGTTTTTAATGACTATTTCACCACACAGCATCACACAACTATTTTTGTAACAATACAATACTAAACATTATTGTTATTCAGCCACCAAAAAAGGGGTACTAAAAGCCACAGAGAGGTCAACTTAACCAGAAATCTAAATTGGACACAAAGTTGGGATTTCACCTGAAATCTCATCCAAAATCATGAAATTGGCATCCCAATTTCTATATATTTACATATATCACAATCTCTATATATACCTTTAACAATACCACATATTGTTGGTTCCAAATTCCCATGATATCCCCAATAATGTGGCAATCCCCATGTCAACCATCCCCGGCCTGCCCCTTTTGGGCTGGAGACGGCTTCTCATTGGCCTCGACTGAATTCAAACATGGGGGATTTCTACCACTGAAAGCCCTAGAACCGGGGATGGGGCAAGTTACCTATGAAATTGCCTTACTCGGGGAATAAACATCCAGCTATAGCAGCTTTTAATCGGGGTAGCATCCGGGTAGGAAAAAATGGGGGTGGTCATGAACAACCATAAATGGGGTGATTTCACTGACTTATAACTGGTATTTCGGGCCAGAACTGTACCATCAAACACTTGGATTTCACCATCAAACCGTTGGGAGTTAGGGAAGGAAAAACATCGCCAAGAGAAGTGGATTCAACTGATCCAACCATGTGTAAAACCAGATGAATCATCAGGAACTTGAATGGATGCATATTTCAACATGACTGGGTCTTTTCTTGTATAGGAATAGCCTCTAGTAGTCAGCTCCATGATTTGCTGGAAAATTCCTACAGATATTCCTCATGAAAACCTCCATTTGTTGGGGATTTTCCAGCCGCGTTTGGGGACACCGGAGGGTACCCCTTGACTTGGGGTTCCCCACTAGACGTTTGACTCTCCACCATAGCTTTGTTTAAAACTATGAGGTACACAATTTATCGCCTGCATGGGAAAATTAGGATCAAGTAGTGGGTTTGGGGTCGAGACAACTTTTTTGGACAAGGTTGCATGGTGGAAGTCAATTACTCAATCATTTTTCCTGTGTAAGATACCGATTTTTACCCAAATCATGTAGAAATTCATATCCTTGAAGGATTTTTTTTAGGCCCAGCTGTTTTTCCCTCATCAGTTCGTTCTTCACCAGGACAAACCTGATGAAATATGAGTGAATAAATCCCCATATTTAAACTTTAGATAACATAAATATCAGGCGTTTATGTTAGTTCACTCACAAAAGTTTTTTCATCATTTGTTTATATTTAAAATATGGAAAACTAACAGTTTGAGAACTGGAAAATCACCATGATTTTGATAGGTAAATCAACTATTTCTATGGGTCATGAAAGGTAGGTGATCAAGAAGGGGAAGCAAAACCTCTCTGTGTAAAAATTGGCTGTGTGTGCGTAAAAGCGTCTGTATGTAAAAAAATGTTGTGCGTAAAACCTTCTGTGCGTAAGACTTCTGTGCGGAGAATTTTCTGTGTAAAAACCGTCCGTCTGTGAAAACTGTTGTGCATAGTTTTTTTTGCGCGTAAAGGCTTCTGTGCGAAAAAAACATGCTGTGTAAAAATTGTTGTAGGTAAAGTTTCTGCGTGCAAAAAAATCGGTTTGTAAACAAATTTGTGTGCAGTCTGTGTGTACAAGTTTCTCTGCATCAAATGTGTTTTCGTGTCGAAAAAAATTGTGTAAAATTTGTTCTGTGCCAAGGTTTCTCTGTGGAAAAGGTTTTGTGTGCAAAAATGCCTATGTGCCCTTATTTATATAGACATCTTTGTACAAAGCATCTGTGTGTAAATATTCCTTCTTTGCGCAAAAACCTGTCTAAAAGCGTCTGCGTACAATTTTTTTTGTGCACAAACCTCTCTGTGTAAGAATATCTGCGCGTAAAAGCTGCTCTGTGAAAAGGCTTCTGTGCGTAACGTTGTTTGTTTGTAGGAACGTATCGGTGCAAAATGCGTTACCAGTACCACAGCCAAAGCGCAAAAGAAATTCAAGAAAAGAAAGACATTATCATGCCAAATGGTGTTTTCAAATCTTGTTGGTGTTTTCACATTGGTTTATATTTTAAAAAACCTTGTCCCATATACATCATACTTGTGTATACTACATTCCCACCATACTTCATCCTGCCTTGTGATGTCCAACTCTACCTGCCACAAATCATCCCCTCCTGCGCTTACTTTCCCTACCATACTTCATCATATCATCATACTGGGCCTGGTATTTTGTATGTTTTTGAAGGAACATCAAAGCCAGTATTATTTTGTATCTACAAATCATTATTAACACACATACCGTTTATGGATGCATGTTTTGCCAAATTCAATCGTAAAATTCAAAGAAAAAACTATGATTGTGGTAGTGGGTCAATGCAACGTGTCTACTCAGGCACCAGGGGGGGAGGGGAGGGGGGCAGGGCATCCCCAAAAAAACACCAAAAACAAACAGAATGGTAATGCAAGAATCTAGGAGCTTCTCAAACCTGTTTCAGTCATGGAAAATTGTCATACTTGACTCATTTAATTTTATGTTTTTATCCTGGAATCCAGGAGTTTCCACACTGTAGTCATATTGTATGTAGTTAAGGTATGACTATTTCCATGGCTGAAACAGGATCGAAATATTTTCAAATATGAATTTTGCACCCGTGTGCTTGCTCAGCTGAAGGAGTTTGGACCTCAGCTGTCAGCTGGAAGGATGCAGCGCATTCAAGTTTTAAGAATCGATTGTGATAAAAATTGCCCTGGTCCATTTGATTAGAGTATTTGTCCTGGAATCCAGTATGTGTGAACATTTGATGATATAGTATAAATGTTTGGATTACCAAAAAAAAGTATGATTAAATTTGGAAGGTTTGAGGCTCTTGGCACGGTTCCCCAAAAAGCAAGGTTAAGGTCAAGTTTTGTCTCAACATCTTTGAGTTCTGGTATGTAATCATAGCTTGCCCCTGTGCTTGCCCATCCCACAGGAGTCTGATCCTCAGCTGTCCAGGGGTGGCTAAGCTAGGAAAAAGACATTTGAATTATTTATTTTTAAAAAAATGAATCCATTCCAAGTCCATTCCATTTCAAGATCAAGTGTGCTGGATTCTGGGACTCCTTTTTTTTTCAGGTTGCAAACTGTCAGATACCTTGTGATGCCCACCTCCACCTGCCACAAATAGGCCCTTCTGTCTTCCTACCCTCACTTTCCCCCATCATACTTCATCATACCTTTTGATGTCCAAACTTTGATGATATAAAGATTGACATGACTCATTTAATTTTCAAGTGTTGGTCCTGAAATCCACGAGCTTTATGAACCTGTTTCAGTCATGGAAAATTATCATACTTGACTCATTTAATTTTATGTTTTTATCCTGGAATCCAGGAGCTTCCACACTGTAGTCATCTTGTATGTAGTTAAGCTATGGCAAGTTTCCATGGCTGAAACAGGTTCGATATATTTTCAAACATGATATTGGCATCATTTTTTTGAAAAAATATATTTTTCTCTTCCAGCAGCCTGAACCTGTGCTTGCTCAGCTGAAGGAGTTTGGACCTCAGCCGAAAGCTGGAAGGATGCAGTGCATTCAAATTTGTTCAAGAATCCAGTATGCGTTGACATATGATGATATAGTATATATGTTTGGATTACCACAAAAACCTCAGAGGTATGCTTAAACTTGGAAGGTTTGAGGCTCTTGGCACGGTTCCACAAAAAACATGGTCAAGTTTTATGTTCTTGTATGTAATCATAGCTTGCCCCTGTGCTTGCCCATTCTGCAGGAGTCTGATCCTCAGCTGTCCGGGGTGTGGCTAAGCTAGGAAAAAGACATTTGAAATATATATTTTTTAAAAACTGAATCTATTCCAAGTCCATTCCATTTCAAGATCAAGTGTGCTGGATTCTGGAACTCCTTTTTTTTTTCAGGTTGCAAACTGTCAGATACCTTGTGCACAAATAGGCCCTTCTGTCTTCCTACCCTCACTTTCCCCCCATCATACTTCATCATACCTTTTGATGTCCAAACTTTGATGATATAAAGATTGACATAACTCATTTAATTTTCAAGTGTTGGTCCTGAAATCCACGAGCTTTATGAACCTGTTTCAGTCATGGACAATTATCATACTTGACTCATTTAATTTTATGTTTTTATCCTGGAATCCAGGAGCTTCCACACTGTAGTCATCTTGTATGTAGTTAAGGTATGACAAGTTTCCATGCCTGAAACAGGTTCGATATATTTTCGAACATGATATTGGCATCATTTTTTTGAAAATATATATTTTTCTCTTCCAGCAGCCTGAACCTGTGCTTGCTCAGCTGAAGGAGTTTGGACCTCAGCCGAAAGCTGGAAGGATGCAGTGCATTCAAATTTGTTCAAGAATCCAGTATGCGTTGACATATGATGATATAGCATATATGTTTGGATTACCACAAAAACCTCAGAGGTATGCTTAAATTTGGAAGGTTTGAGGCTCTTGGCACGGTTCCACAAAAAACATGGTCAAGTTTTATGTTCTTGTATGTAATCATAGCTTGCCCCTGTGCTTGCCCATCCCACAGGAGTCTGATCCTCAGCTGTCCAGGGGTGGCTAAGCTAGGAAAAAGACATTTGAATTATTTATTTTTTAAAAAATGAATCCATTCCAAGTCCATTCCATTTCAAGATCAAGTGTGCTGGATTCTGGAACTTTTTTTTCAGGTTGCAAACTGTCAGGTGCCTTGTGCGCGAATAGGCCCTTCTGTCTTCCTACCCTCACACTTTCCCCCCATCATACTTCATCATACCTTTTGATGTCCAAACTTTGATGATATAAAGATTGACATAACTCATTTAATTTTCAAGTGTTGGTCCTGAAATCGACGAGCTTTCTGAACCTGTTTCAGTCATGGAAAATTATCATACTTGACTCATTTAATTTTATGTTTTTATCCTGGAATCCAGGAGCTTCCACACTGTAGTCATCTTGTATGTAGTTAAGGTATGACAAGTTTCCATGCCTGAAACAGGTTCGATATATTTTCAAACATGATATTGGCATCATTTTTTGAAAATATATATTTTTCTCTTCCAGCAGCCTGAACCTGTGCTTGCTCAGCTGAAAGAGTTTGGACCTCAGCCGACAATTTGAAGAGCTGATTATGATGCATCAAAAAACAAGCACAGCACAAAGATTTAGATTAATGTCATGTTATGCAAAGTGAACAAATACCAGATAGGACAACCTTGCAGCTTATAGCAGGTTCCACCTCCAGAATCTGCCCAGGGTAATCCAAACAGACCTCATGGCAGTCCCAACCTCAAAGCAATGTCAATTGAGCAAACCTAAAGTGTAACTATGGTTCTCAGATTTTGTTTGCATCAGTAATT